ACGCACCCTCGCTTGGAAGAAAGAATTGAGAGATTGGAAAAATTAAAAAAACAGCGAAAACTACTTGGTATTATTTAGAAAAATAGATAACGATATTTTGCCACGGGCTAAAAACAAACACAGATATTTTACACAAAGAGGATATTTTTCAACTGGACGGAGATATGAGAAAAGAAACAGAAGAAAAAACTAAAACGCAAGGTTTCCAACAAGAACCTAAAAAAGAGGAAGCGGATATTTACCTCGAAGGAGAAAAAATTCCTTTGGCTAATCTCCACCCGTTAACGCAAATTACTCAAAAAATCTATGACATTTTTTGACGTTTAGGTTATCAAATTGTTGAAAGCCCCGAAATTGAAACAGAGGAAAATAATTTTACTTTGTTAAACATGCCACCCGGCCATCCTGCCCGAGCCATGCAAGATACTTTCTACCTTAACCACAATTTACTTTTACGAACACACACCACAACTATTCAGCCTTGAGTGATGAAAAATATACTCAATATTTTGCCTGACAAGGCCAAAAATAGACCTGATATTTTGTCTGAAAAACAGAGTTTTACCATGGGTCAAAAACAAAGTGTTGTCGAAGACCATAAGCCCAAAAATAAACACGGATATTTTCGAATAAGTGATAATATGAAAAAAATTAATGCTGAATTAAAAATCGTCAGTATTGGCAAAGTTTACCGCCGCGACGAGGATGATGCTACCCATACTCATCAATTTACGCAAGTAGACTGTTTTACGGTTGGCAAAAATTTTTCTTTTTCTCATTTAAAGAGAACTTTAGAATTAGTGGTCCAAGAATTACTGGGTAGAGAACAAGCCATTCGCCTTCGTCCTTCTTATTTTCCCTTTACCGAACCGAGCGTGGAAATAGATGCCTGCTGTTTGCTATGCCAGGGTCAAGGCTGCGAAATATGTAAAAAAACCGGTTGGGTAGAAATTGCGGGGGCTGGATTAATTCACCCACAAGTCTTAAAAAATTGCGGTTTTGACCCCCAAAAATTCACTGGATTTGCCTTTGCTTTCGGTTTAGAGCGATTATTAATGCTAAAATACGGCATTGAGGATATTCGTCATTTTTATCTGAATGACATTCGTTTTTTAAGGCAGTTCAGAGGTATAAATTGTCTTTAAAAGAGGATTGAATTTGAAAAAATATCCTGCTATTATTCGTAGTTTAACTAACAATAATCACCATTTCGAAATTTTAATTAAATAATGAGTCACTGCTAAATTGAAAACCACCAAAAAATTAAAATTAATGTCCGAGCAAAACAATCCCTTCCCTACTCGGGAATATGAAAATTGAATTACTTTTTATCTCAATTATTTAAGTCCTTATTTGGCTGAGGATAATTTCCCCCTTTTTAAAAAAAAA